GCGGGCACGAAGTTGCAACAGCTTCCGTGCGGGGCATGGGATTTTCAGGAAGCGATAGCAAAGGCATTGTGAGGTGCCTCGAGCTTAACTCGAAGAGCAAAAGTGGTTGTGAGTCGAGTCTCAGAACTAGACTACTTCTCAGAGTATCTCTAGGATATGGGAGACGACGACGACTAAATGTCGATCGCAGGGCGGCAAAGAGCAGCTGTGAGCTGTTGTCGTCTATGTCACGACCGACGGAGAGTAGAAGCAGCTGGATCTCGCTGTTTATGTGCCACAGACGGTAGAGTTAAAGGGCAACTGTAAGTCGCGAGTAGACGGGCTGATCTCTGTAAGTAAGATGGAAAGTTGAATTTTGCCATGTTCTAACGGTAAGATTGAGTCGGTACTTGGGTGCGAAACAGTTAGGCTCTGTTGATAGGTGGCAAGAAATATCTCGCGAATGAAAGACCGGGGTAACGTCAGAGTCGGTAAACCTTCTTCTCAATACCTTTTCCAGTAGCTCTTACAACGGTAGGATAGACATTTATCGGGGATCTGTGAAATGAATGGCCTTGGAGGCTGTAAAAATTCCTCATGCGTGCTCCAATTTAGGTTTTTCTGGGTCCACTTAGGCTGCACCATGATTGTGAAGCTTCAGCCTTTGCAATAGATTGCGCTTTCATCCATAAAGCTGTCAATGAGCATGAGAGCGTTTGTGTCTTTCAGCTTTGCTAGTTGACAACTGCTTAAGGGAGCTACATTGTTTGGATACGGAACAACATGCAATGGAGTATGTCTATGACGGGCTTTAAAGCTTTTCCGATCTACATAAATCATCCTTCGTCGTGCACAGCGACTTCGTCACCACATTGATAACACAGAATGAAAAGATTGTGATCCTTCTTTGCTGAGCGTAAGCGTATTAGCATAATATGGTGGTTGCTGCGTCATCATGTCGCCACGATCATCACCTATAACATGGCATAATGAGAACAAAGCCAGTTGATGAGATAATACGGTCATCGTCAGCCCAGACGCAACCTGTGGTGCCTTAACGAATGTTTTTAGCAATCAAAGATTCAAGAAATGTCACCATATGTAGTGCGCAGTCGTATGGCTGTACCACTACTTTTTATCTTGAGGCTTTCCGTTTTACAGCTATGACCGACATAACCCTCTTCGCAGGGTGTTGCCTCACGACGAGGATTTCGGGTATATGATTCTATGTGAGGCACATGATTCAGTAACTTCGGAAGAGAAGAACGATACAGCCTTCGTAAGTACTTATTGCGCATGTCTAAAACCTGTCAGCGAAATAAACCTTTGCGGCATGAGACGGCCCTTTTCGCTATCCTACCAGCTCTCGCAGGGTGCCGGCTGTCGATAGGTTAGACAATAATGTTAATTTTATCAAACCGCCTCGAGAATTACCAGTATTGAGAAATTTGAAGGGAGGCAAGCTCATCATTTTTCGTAAATGAGGTCGTCATTGAGGACATTCGCAGATGACTAAGCAGAATAAAAATCCTGACAGATTCTGCGGATCCCTTTGAATACCACAACATAGTGTTGACAGTCTCAACATGCGCCCTACTATTTGGTCGTTAATCAGCTCGTAAAATTGGCAGAATTCCTGGAGCAGGATAACAATAGCTTTTGCTTAAAGGAATATTGGACGGGTGCGGCCAGTGAGGTGGTCTTAAAACTGTAAGAAAGAGCTCCCCGATTATAGTCCTTCTATATCAATATGGACTCTTCAATTTATACCAGACGCTGCGCCTTTACTCCAAGGATATGTCAATTAGCGTGAATGCGCCATCGCTACCAAGCATATCTAGCATATAGCGGCATGGTAAAATTCTTTTAATCATAAATGCCTCGAAAATATTATTCTCATGATCAGGGTGCACCTGATTGTATCCAAGTCATTTGTAATCCAAAGAATTTCAGCATTTTTGCGCAAATTTACATCGTTACCACAACTCTCGTGGAGAAAATCGGTATGATTTACCTTTTCTGCCAAATAGTTTTAATATACGCCGAGAAGTCTTTATGTGGTGGCGGATGCACTTTGGCGCCGCACTGTATCATGTTGAGATAGTGGCTTTGCAGTCTGACGAGGCTATACGCACATAGGACAAGTGGACAGCAATATAACTGCGTTGCTTGAGACAGTAGGAAGTAATGAGTCTGTGGGCTCACTTGTTGCGCAAACATGTAACGTTTGCACCGCTGATTCGTATCTTATATACCAGCACTGACACACTTGAAACTCAACGATAACTATGCTCAGTGCCAAAGGTCTCAAGAGCTTTATACTTAAAATGGACAAAAAACTCAGCATTAAATTAAAGAGCTCATTGTGCACTGAATACTGGCTGATAAATGTGAAAGTGCACACTTAAATCGTGTCAAAGAATATTCTGCCGCAAATGTTAGACACTTTGCCTGGTCTGCCAGCTTTGCAAATTCTTTGCCGTACATTGGTATGGACTCTATATCTGGTTTTCCAGATGACGCATCTAAATAAACCGTGATTGTGGTGTGCCACTCGTTGCAGGTATATAGTCAGGCTGCTGCTAGACAAGTCGTTTCCCCTGTAGCTTGACTAACTGGTGGTCATCACGTCCGATTAAGACAAATGACCACAAATCAGTCGGCATAGATCTAGTTCCTTGAGCTCTAAGAAATCTTTTACCTAGGGTAGCAATGCGGCCAAGAAACCCCGGTCAATCCAATTTTAATTGGACAAACCTTCATTTATCGGATATTGAACCTTGCGGAAAAAGTCAAAGCTCGCTTTCTACCAGCAAAATGGGGGCCAATTTTTTCGTGGGTTGATGTGACAGCTGTGTTATGGAGACGAGCAGGGCAATTATTAGCAAGAAATGGAAGCGGTGGGTTTTTCCTTGATGTTCGTGACATGCCTTGCACTTATTACAGTCAAGCATAAATTGATGCTTAAATCGAACATACGCATCACTATAGCTGGCCCGAAAAGCTTTGAGACGATTGAGACAGTAGTATCCTCACCCAGTGCGCGACTTGAGTCTGTTTCACTTTGACACTCTTGACAGCTTTTAGACCTAAAATGCACCCCTCGAGGGCGGTTCGATTTCAACCGATGCTGCGGGGGCGGGTCTTCCGAGAAGTAATGACGTGTGAGTTGTTACTACTTGACACTCATTTACCTCATATATACGCGGGCAAGGGCTATCATCAGCTCGGCAAAAAACTTTTGATGACTTGAATGATTGTCACAACGTCATGATACTGACGATAATCGGTTTGCCGTTGCGCTTGCAGACGAGGAATTTGGGTTGTCCGACTCGTCGATGATGACTTGGCCATCGTGAAATCCACGGCGAGGTGTTGCGACACAGCCCACCCTAGGAATAGCTCGCAAAGTTCTATAAGTTTGCAGAAGTGCAGTGAGTGACATCTTCTCGGTGAATTGGCTTGGTCGTATGTCTCCGTGTAGCGCCAGAGCGTTGGGTCAGGACTCGGAGAGTCGCTGCAATCATTTTGATGGGAAAACACTTTGGCATTGTGATTGAGTATGGTTTTAAGAACGCTGGTCGCAAGGGTTACGCTTTTTCGCTACGTTCGCAGAGCCATGTGGTGGAGTGCACGCTATGTGATCAATACATAATTTGTACTTAACCGTATGTACCAAACTCCTAGCGCAGTGGTTGCTCATTGAGGGTCGCATTTGCATATTGTCTCTAAATAAGCATGACACCCCTGGTAAGTACAATTGTGAATTATATAATCACACGAAATTCACATTATTTTCTATGTAAATATTAGTAGTAATGATTACCATGATGGGGACTTGTAAAGGAGAGGTTAGTGTCACTCTAAGTGATGAAGACATCTTTGTCATGAGATATGGTAAAACGTACAGGTTGAATTCTGGTCTATATAAGAGTAATCAAGCGTTTGAACCTAATTTATGTGCGTGTGTTAACGCAATTTACTGAGCCACATCATTTTTTGTGCAAGGCGCACAGCAGCTCTATTGCACTATGTCTATCTCGGACCTGGCACCATCAATACCAGTACTTTGGTACCTCTGCTTTCTGCCAATAGTGTAGTTTGTGGATACAGTATAACTGGGTACGTACGCTCCCCGAGGGCCATGAATAGTGTGTATCTATCCTGCTCTTCCTTACAGCAACCCGCGAATCGTTCTGTATTATTCAACATGCAACATTTCGACGTGAGTTCGATGCTTGTTTATCAGCCTCCAAATTTAAAGCCTGAGTGCAATTTTCTGGTAGAACTTTGCACCACGTTCAATCGACTATCTCCTTAACTTTCTTCACTATCATGCATCACCGCTTCTTTAAGGATGTCAAACACATTTGCGACGTGACACAGCAGCCTGTTGGATCATACTAATCATTTGTTGGATGCACATCTTGATTTGCTTTCTATGGTATTATTTTCAAGATCCACATCCCCTGTCACAAGTCTCAGACCAGAAATGAGTCGTTTTGCGGGTATTCAGAGCTGGATCTTGTAATCCAGTCAAAGTTCTCGAGCGTTCGAGAGTGACATTTAATACTAACAGCAAACTTTCGTCATCGACAAAACGTTTATGTAACCTCTGGCCGTTCCAGAATAATCTCTTGCTCCACAGAAATGTGTAGGAATGGATAGATAGTACACATCCGAACTTATGCATAAAACGTTGAGCGATCAACTTGGTGATGTATTTGTCGGGCGATGTGAACTTATAGGTCAGAAGAAAATGAGTGACTTTATAAGACGTGGGTTCGTGTTAATCTTTTGGACAAGGAATATTTAGTAGATATTTTCAAAAGATAAACTCATTTTATTGATACCATTCAAAGTATCAGGTGTACATACTATAGATAATGAATTATTCCGATTATCCGACGGCGACATATTCATCTTTCAGGATCAGAGATATTGTCTAGCTTGAATTAATATTTTATACTTGATACACTCAATTACACCACTGCCATTAACAACTACACAAAACCACATCCTTAACTTGCATTAAGTATTGCAGTGATATCCAAATGGCCACCTTCTTTGGCTCGAGGTACCCAAAGTTTGAGCGATCCACCGCCAGTACCGGGAATATCAAGAATTCCCGCACGCCATCGATCGAGGTACAGCGTCTGTCCTCCCAATTCATTTACGGTTGATTCCCACGTCACGGTTTGACCAGCTGGAACATTCTTTTCATCAAACTTGTCGCCACCCGAAATGATGTTGACAGTCACGTTTTTAATGTCTGTACTAACGAATGTAATCACGACATTGCCATCACCTCTTCGCTTCCAGGAGATGCTGCTTCCCTCAAAGGCGTCTCCGACAATTCGAAGTCCGAGCGTATTGGGATGAGTACCATCATCGATCTCACCAACAAGTTGCGTGGGACCACAGATTGTCTGAATGTATTCCGACAGCATACCAGAAATACGTGTCAAATCAACGTAAAATAGTGTCGCAATCGCCATAAGTACTTTGTCGGCCACGACTCGAGTGTACTGCTTAGCTGTCAAGGATGTACCGTTGTCACTTTTGCCATGGTCAATTAAGTCATCAATCATGACGCCATAGGTCTTGCGAAGCATGTCACGCGTTTTGTATGCCGTGGCTTCATCTGACTCAGAGATCATTTGTTCCATGCAATTATTCGTCGCAGTAGGAATGTCGTGTAGCATGAGGTCAGACTTGTACACTTGGACACGTAAACTATCCTGGGTGATAGTTGGGTTTGCTTCTTTCATCTCAGCAATTGTTCTCCATGTGCGATCAGTAAGTCGTTGGAGTTCGTAGCCACACGTCGAATTAGATTCCATACCCTTTTTTAACGACGAGATATCCGTGTCATTAAGATCGTTCACAGCGTAAGTAAAGTTTGATCTCGTAAGAAAAGCTTTAAACTTTCCCCAACTCTTGAGAATACTATCTTGGCGAGCCAGGACCTCTCCTAAAATCACTTGAATTGTACCCATGGCCACACTAACAGGATCAAGAACTTGCCAATTGTACGATCTACCCATACACATAACAATACTAACAGGAAGGTCAATTGTAATGTAGCTCGTCTGGTACAACGCCAAAAGGATTTGATCCTTGGTTGTTTTTGGATTTGATACTTTTAAAGCTCGAACATAGTTGACAATCGCACGCATGGTACCAAACATGGCTCGAGCGCATTTGATTCCGACGCGAACGGTCTGTGAAAGCTTTGAAAACGTCCCAAAGACGCCCATAATTTGCACGGAAAAAAAGGCATTGGCCACGCTCACAAACTTTGCATAGATAGCAGCTGCACAATTATCATTTTGTCGAAGACACTCGACACCACATTTTACAGGAAATGCCATGGGACACTGGGCCCAACACATTTTCATATTATAGTCAAAGCCGTATGGACATTCATCCATGATGTAAGCTTTTCGCCAACAAGTCTTATCGAATGCAGGGTCCGAAGGTTTTCCAATAGTAGGACCGACCCAATTGCGATACGTTGACACGAGTTTGTCCGTGGTGTTTGCAGTCGAGCCAATTGTAATATTATCTGGAACAGTAACTGTTGCAAGTGCGTTTGAGTATGATAATGATGACTTGTCATCATCCAAGTCATCCGAATCGTCGATACTATCACTTGATACTGTTTTTAACAAGTCTGAGTCGGAGAAGTCATGAGACTGAATTGTATCTGATTGCCTTGATGGCGTTATCTCCATTGGAATTAAAGACGCCGATGAATTATCTTGCCACTCCGTTAAGATAGAATGTTTCGATGCGACTGCATATGGAACGGTAAGATATGTCCACGCCACAAAAACCAGTAGTGTGCACCATTGTCTCATTATCGAGTTCAAGTCTCTCGAAGCTGGTACGATATCGGTCGAGAGTTTCGCAGATACAAAAATGACTTGAACACGGCATGACACAGCATGTTTGTCACTTGAAATGTCCTGACGTTGCTCAATCTTGAGCGAGGAGGCAGGAAATAAACTTGAGTGCTTCACTTGGTCAGAGCCGGGGACAAACGAATGGTCTGTAATGCAAATTGGTCTCTTTCGATTTGCTAACACGCTCTGACTAAGCTATGAAGAGTGACGAGTCTATTGTCAGAGGATTCGCAAGTTTGGCTTAGATACTGTCTGCATCAAATTAAAACATTTATATGTATATTATATAGTAATTTCAATTTAAATTCCACCCCGTAAGGCAGTCACCAATATAATTGCAATATCCGACGGCGAGTCATTTCAATAATGTCTGTTTTCAGAATCTGTTTGTGCATAAGGTGGACGAAGGAAGGTACGTATGTGCCAATCTCACCAGGCGTGAGCTATGAAATGCTATTCAGCGTCAGGGAAAGTGTTGGTCTTTTTTCATCCATAGCACTTGGATTATTAATGTTAATTCGCTACAAAGCCATGCATTATGCAGCTAATTAGTATCGCATTTACCAACATCGTAAAATTTACAAACTACTGTGCGAAATTGATGGCATTTGATGTCTGGTAGAATGCAATAAACCGAACTGATTTTTTAGTTTAAAGATGTTACAAGCCTTGTCCGACGGCGCTGACCGTGTGTTGAAAGTGTACTGCATCATATTAATCCGACGGCGCCAGAACCAGATGCATAGATATTTTTGTATTGTTATCACTAAATCATCATAAATGTTATATCCACACATGTTAGAAAACATTATGAATTAATCCTTTTATTAGAGTTTCATCAGTGTCTGATGCCTAACTGCGTCAGTTAAGGAAAGAATGAACGTTTTCGGTTAAACTTTTCGTGCCCAAGACGAGGTCAAAAGGTAAGAAAAAAGAGCTGAAAATTCATATTTACGCTCTTTGATGATGGTAGACGCAACAGCCATATGACGCATTTTTGATTCCACATGCCTGCAGGATCAGTAACGAGCTTGTTGACACCGATACAGAAAACAGGATAAACCATTCAGGATTGCGAGCCCTCTAAGTGCATGAGGAGCCACTGAGTACTGCTCTTCATACGAAAATCTATAGTTGATCGTGTTTTAAGGCTGGATATTATACGATTATCGCTTCGAGCCTTAAAAGTCACGTTCAACTTTGCCATATATATAAGTCATTCGCTCTCAGAAATGCTAAATACTTTCTCTCATTATTTATTTCTTAGCTTTTTCTCGAGCGCTATTCAACTCGAAAAATTGAAAGTCCTTGTCTCCAAGTTTTCAATTCGTGTCATAGTCTTTGACAGTCCAATGAGTTCTATAACCCTTGATCATCGAGATGTGAACAACTCCATATGCATCAGAAGCTAAAAGGTATGACTAATCTTTGTAACAACAAATAGCGTCGCCTAAAAATCATACAATGTACCTTATAACATTGAACACTAAGCGTGCTCTTGTTGCTGATCCACGTGCCGTTTCGCGTTTCTCGTATGTACTGCTTCGACTGATATAATTCATACATACAAGATAAAAGCGGAAAGCTCTTTTGTGCTCTTAAGTTTTTTACAATAGCAATAGCTTTATAAACTACACGAGTTTAACCTTGTCAGCTCGTAAATTACGTGATGATGAAGAGTGTAACTTGCGGTGAAAAAGACAATATAAATATCTATGGAGCAACTTTTTACAGCCATAGTCGTTAATAGTGTCTGTCGTCCATCCAACATGTATACATAGTAGTTGCTAGTTTTTCTAGAATGCGTCACTAGCTTTACGATGATGATCAACATGGCCTGGTTGACTACGAAATCCTTCCATGCTACCATGTGGTTCTTCATTCGACTCGAACGGTTCATCATTGCCGCGATTCTCATTCCCGTTTCCACGATCACTGTCACTTCCATCTTCATCTCCTTCGCCCTCTTCACCTTCTCGATACTTAAGCAAACTTCGTTCAACAAACGGAGATGTCGTTCGATACTGGTCCGCCACCCAAATTCGAAGCGTCTCTAAGAATCGACCGTCTCCTTCACTCACGCCACCTCCCACACTTCGCACTGGTGCCTGATTATCGTCTTCCAATTCCCACTCAGTCTTAACTTCGATGTCTTCGCGATCACTACACACGCGCATAAGCAGCGGTACAAAGATCTTACGCACATCACGCCGAATGCTTGGGATCTCCAATGCACGTGCTTGCAAGTCTCGTGACGTCTTGCCGTTAACAATGTCAGCTAGCCAGTTGAGACAAAAATTAAATTTCCGAAGATTTGAGCGACATATTTCAAACCGCATGAGTTCAAGCAAATCAACTTCTTCAGCTAAACGAGGGCAGCGGGCGAGAGTCAACTCTTGAACACGGTAAAAGAGTTCATCAGAGTTCTCAAGACCATGGCCACCTAGTGAGTAACAATTCTCACACAAATCAAAGCCCACACACGTTTCACACGAGTAGCGTTCTCCAACAATGGGTGTCATCTTACAAAACTGACACGAAGTGCCTTCATGCGTGCACTTGGAATTCTTGAACGTCGCTGCCACTCGCTGTTTTGCTCCTGCAGCCATCGTTCCCAGTAATTTGGCGGCATTTAAACCTCCCCACTTTCGTTTCGACATCATCACATCTGGTACATCTGCTGATTCTGAAGCCGTGTCCATGTCGTCCGTATGTTCACTACCTCGTTCTAAAGGAGAAGATACAAACATCGAAACTGCGTCTAGACTTTTAGGTTTTGAAACATAAATGGCTTTGCCTCCTGAGCTGATAGTTCGAGGCATATGTGGCACAAGTTTTCCAACATCTTCAGCCGATGGACCTAAAAACATATGATCCTTACCAAATCGTTTTTCTCCTGGTACAAATCCACCCAAAACCGAATTTCTTCGACGTTCAATCTGAATACGAACATCCGTCACCAACGTACGACGTTCCATAGTCGAATACGAAATTCGAAGAGCGGGATGGGCCTTTAGCAATGGCAACAAAAACTCGCGCAACTCATTCTGGCGCTCCGTCGACAAATGACGTAGTACAATTTGCGACTCATACACAGGTTCAGCTGTAGAGTCAGGATCTAATGCACCCATAAGCACACGACTTGCACCTTCTTGATGTTCATACGGCAACTTTCGAATCAACTCATCCAGTCGATCGAGATCCAAGGCTTCATCAAAGCTACGAGCAGCTTTAATTTTTCTGTCTTCAACCCAATCGCGAATAATTTGATCGGCAGTCGGATCAACAGGTGGTAACAAGCCCGACGTAATTGGAGGTGGAGTTCCAGGAGGAGTATCAGGTTCCTCGCCACTAAACTCGTCTCCTTCACTAATATGACTTGATTTCAAGCGCTCTTTCGGCCCAAATCCAACCATGTCGCGTCCTTGTTCATCTGCCAAAGCTAATGCTGCAGCTACACTTGAGCGTCTTCTCAATTGCATTTGCTGCACCTGTTTCTCTAACTCTACTACACGGTCCTGTTTTGACTTTAATCGATTCATTCCGGCCTCCTGTTCTTGTTTAAGTGCTGCTTCTAATCCTGTAATTCGCGCCTTGTGTGCACTTACTTTTTCTTCATATCTCTGAAGCTCTTCGTCTTTGCGGTCCACATCCTTCAAAAGAAGCGCATTTTCAGCCTTCAAAGCTGCTACTTCAGCTGCATGACGATCTCTATCTTCACGTCGACCTTCACGTTCAAGTTGTAACGCTGCATTTGCATCCTCACTATTTCTCATCTCGGCCGCAGCAGCTTCAGCTACCGAGTTACGAGTTTTCGCAGCCTCTAGCTGCTTCGCACGCTGTTTCTTTGTCGCAGCTTCCAGTGCGCTAACAAGTCCACGTAATGCAGCACCTTCTTCCTCTTTAAATTTAATTTCTTGCTGAAGAAATGCAATCTGTTTATGTGACGCATCGAGTTTCGCTGTCTCTAGCGCCAACAATTCATTCTCACGAAAGACGTATTCAAATTTTTTCTTCCAGCGAGATAAATCCTTTTTAAGTCCCATGTAGTTGCTCTCATATATTTGAAGTTCCTTGATCTTTGTGGCCAGCTCCTCTTGCGTAGCACGTAGCATGTCTGTACACTCAGTACGCTCTGCATACCGAGCCAAGTTACTGTGGTCCGCGACGTCCTCCCCCATGGTCCAATGAGCGACTGAGAAATTAGAAACAAACCTGAGTCGGAAGGTGAAGTAATGATATGAAGTAGAGATGGGTTCCCTATGAAAAGGTCATGTTAGGTCTGAAGTGACGATGAAGAAAAGTGAGCTCCAATAGCTACAGTAAAGGTGGTGCAGGATACCAACGCTAATGAATGGCAACTTCAAGAAATATCAAAAACTCTTGATCAGTTATGATAGTGTTGACTAATATGTAGGACAGCTAAGAGTGCGAAAAGAATTGCTGTGCTTTTTAATATTCGAATGAAGATACGTAAAAGTAACGTATTGCAAGATTAAATGCAGTACAAAACCATACGCTGTGAAGATAATGAAAATTGCTGCGCATTCAATAGCGTAAACATCTGGTAAAGCTCAGCCATAGGCGGTCAATTAAAAAGCTTCTCTCCCTCTCGTGTATTCTCTAGCATGAAAATAGTATGTGGTCAATTTGCACCTCTTGTGTAGAATTACCATGAATTGTCGATAATATAAATATTTGGCTTTTTCACAAAAAGTATAACAAGACAGAGGAATATTTTGATGACGTCTACAAATACAACTTCAAGACAATCAGACAAAGACAAAATTCATAGTTCAACTGCGGCTGTTGATGTGTAGATGGATGGCTACAGAAAGCATACAGACTATGCTACGTATGTCTTATCAGCCTACGAATCTGATTGATTTTCCTTACATGTTCTGCTTGGAACTGGGTAAGTAAACTCCTTGTCCAACAGATCAACACTCCGCAGATAAGAGTTACAAGGGCATTTGATCATTAGGTGTTAATTTTGCGACTTTGGACCGCTTAAGATGTATCAAAAGTAAGGTACAATTTTACAAACTTCCCTTGCGCTTTGTAGAAGTACTTGGTATTATAATCTCGACTTCTGGTCGATCCATAGCACAAGGTGTAACGGGGTTACATGAGAGTGACACGTCACTCTCCCAAGGGAGCTGTGGTGTGGCATACACCACA